CACAACTAACAAATTTATAAAATGAACACAATCAACTAAAAATGATAATGTTTGCCGCGACGACTTACATCCATTTTAAGTGGCATATTCATTCGCTCAACCTCCTGCTAAGCTATCATTTATTATTTACTATTCGTCTTCGATTTGACTTTATAGAGCAAAAATTGATTGTGCCAACGAGTACGCTAATTCAAAAACTTAAAATTACTTTAATTAGCTGTACTAATGGTAAGATAATCGTGACACTGACTCAATGGAATACGAGATGCTTTCATCTCTGCATCAGTGAAACAAATCATTTCAATCCTTTACGGAACCACTTTCAGATTTTCTCTGATTTCAACGAATCGAATCAATCTTTCATGATGAAGTAGAGTGGATTGGTGCTGCATAACTGATGAATGCTCAATAAACAACCTTCATCTTAGAACAAAGTTCATCAATTGGAATATTCAACGCCCACTCGATATCATTCTCATCAAGCTGTAAATCTTTGCAATATTTCTGTAGATTTTTCACACGTTCCAAATCCTCCTCGTTTCTGCATCCTCCACAAATCACCAAACGAACCTGGAGAAAACCAACTAATAATCTTGAAATCTGATTAATCGACAAACGACCAGTTCCTTTCCATGTGATTAATTGTTCTATGGATAGTTGCTTAAAATGGAACAATACGACTTTTCATTTTATTCCGACGCTAAATCTTTACGAACAAAGGAACAACATTTTAAGTTCTTCAAAATCATACCGAATAACCAGCTTCATCGGAGTTGAGCGTTTTTTTGAGTTCAGACAGAGTGCAAATTTGTAGGCGATGATCCTTCTCAGGACGAATTTGACCAACTGACAGCAATTGAAGATGCTTTTTTTCATTCAGTAACTTCTCGGCATCATCACATTTCAATCTGTAAATGATGACATTTCTGCAAACAAGAAAAATTTTCTGCATGAAAGTTTAAAAAAAAAATTAAAACTCTCTCAACAGCAACCACTCAACTTGTTCAACATAAGCAATCACACATTGGTTTCAGAGAATAGTTTCAAACATTTTTGAACTGCCCAATGCTTTATCGCCAACTTCCATCAGTGTGACTCCTCACATCATCATTCAAAATCAAAGCAACACTTCAGCAGGAGTTAAAAACTGTGACCATTACTTCAAGAATGTATCAATATTGCACGGTGGATATACGACAAACGTTCGATCTGGCACTTTCCATAAATCTAATATGTGGTTTCTTGTCCAACTGAAAATTTAAAAGACAATCACACAACTCACTGATCATCAAGGACAGCAATCATAAAAAAACTTTTCTACGAAATGAAAGTACAATGAAAATATTAGACGGATGAGTACCTTCCATTGACCATAACAACTTGCGAGCACATTCCACACAAACGATAAAAGAACGCAAATATGCGATAATATACAATTTTACATACACTCAATAAGCCACTAGCCGCAATCCAATCGGCGTTATTATACGTTGGCTCTCTCGATTCCACTCGTTTGATCATATCTTAAAAAGTGTATTGTCATCAAAATCCTAATGTATTGATATTTAGGCGTAAATCTGATAATAAGGTGATAAATTCATTGTTTGAATTTATTCATCGCTGCTACAATGCAACCGTTAAAATAAATAGATATAAATTCAAGATCCGAATATATAAATGACTGACGAATGAACAATACTTCATGCAGCATCTCTTCCTTTCCTACGGATCTATTATGATGCCTCGGCTACTTTAACTTTCCACTTCTTAGGAATTTTTAACTAATTTGGATTTTAGATATGGCACAACAGTCAATCAAAGTATTTCCTACATCAAGAGTGGTCAGCTGGATTTATTCTTTCCACGAATGCAATCAAACTACTGGAAATCTCTACTCTTCTCAAAATCCGTGGAACTTACAGTCAACAATCAATCTTCATTGAAGTTATACTCGACACCACTTTCACACAACAATTCGCAATCATAGTGGCTGTTAAGTTTTCAGTTAATTCAAATTGATGATATAATTAACCTGTCGAGATTGTTGGATAATGAACATAGCATGCTACTTGTGACCCTGCTAACCACCTTAAAATATTACCACTATTGTTCTGTTGCATTTTTGTGATAACTGTCACCAAAACTGAATTGAGACGGAAAAAGAAAAGGCAAACAACAAAATAGTAGAAAAGAAGTGCGAACAACCTGAACAAAGGTAGCGTTAAAGGATAGCCCATCGTGTCTATAAAAACTTCAGGATTCAATGCACACAACGCCTCAATACCAACTAATAATCCAGCCAGCGTCTGCAACGCAAGTGTGAAGTGAGGATAGTTTTTGGCTTCTAACCATGGTCGCGTTCTGAAAGATCAACAACAATTATGAAGTGAATATTCAGAAAACATACCGAAATTGGATCCGCTTGAGCGATAAGAAGTATATTTATGCAAATGATTTCAGTTTTTGTCCATGATTTTACGGAATTATATCATGGAACAAATAAAATTAAATCATATGATATTCATAATTCCGGTGATGATAAACACGCTCATTCGCTCTTCAGCCACCTGTTCAACCGTTCAATAGTTACCACTGAAGCGCAAAGCAATCAAAAGAATGAGTGCAACTACCGACGACCTTTCGTTTGACGTTGAACTACGAATGAATTCAACAATAACTAAACGCAATTCAAAGATGTGTCGCCGTAGATGAGAAGAGTATGTTGAGTGCAACTCACTTCAAGTAAACAAAGTCTAGCTTCGTCTCATCAACCGCAATACCAAATCGATCTCTCGCCCTTGAAAGTATCTCTTTCGGAGTTGCATCAATATCCCCCGTATAAACCACATAACGTAGATTCTTGCTGGCGTATCTAGAAAACAAATGTGGCGATAAAATATTGCTGAGATTTGCTGCTTGAGCTTATGCAAATCGAAATTCATTCAAAATTTACCAATCACATCAAGAGATTTTTTAACAAACGAACACAGCCAATCTGTCTAAGCAACTGATACATAACTGAACCTAGTGGTACATAACAGAAGAAGATAAATACGAGGGGAATCAGATGCAGTGTGAAGATGAGAGACGTGGTGAAAAGGCTCTTGTGTCACACATTCACGCACTTAAAATGTGACAATGTTTCGACGTATAAAGCATACCAATTGAATGCGCAATGTATTAATAAATGGCCACTGAAAATCGAAATAACGATACGACTTAAGTTTTTTATCAGTAACGAAAACGTTTCATCAAGTTCAGCATTCATTGACCTTCGCTTTTTCTGTGAATAGAAATACGATGAGAGCAGAGTGATAGAAACAATAATGTTGTTAAAAAGAAATGCTCATCGACGGGAATATTGAATCGAAAAGGTCATACGGGGAAACAAATTTTGGTAAATATATAAACTATCGGTTTCTATATGACTGATCACAGAACAAAAAATAACTATGAAAACGACACGAAGATAATCGAATAAACGAATCGCATTGGTCATATCCGTATTTCTAGACGCTTCGCTCATTCTATCTGCTGATACTTTCTACTTGAATCTACAAAACGTCAGAAATAATTTAGATCTTAAACGAGATTCATTAGCCACATGATACAAATATTCAGCATTCTCTGGATACAAGCTGAATGGAATTCTGAACTAATCAACCAGCAATGAGAGAATGACATTTGTGAAAAAAATCGATATTTGTCTCTACAAATATTTGAAAATCGACTTAGAACACGAATGCCATGGTTAAAAATGATAATGTGAAGAGCTGTTCAAGCATCATGACAACAACAAGATGTGAAACGAGATCATTCAAAGAACGTATGAAAATTTTGAAAATTATATTCCTAATGACACTGGGAATCGGTTTGAAGAAATTCACTATTAGTTCAGTGCAGTACTGGAAGCATGATTCGAAAAATAACGTGAAGATCTCCAGATATATGTCCCTGGTAAGATGGATGGAAAGATGAAATAATCGGATTATGAAAGGTTACGAAATGTATCTGAGACAGACGGATACGCACTGAAAAACCCGAGAGATGCGATGCACGATTTGAGACGAATTAATCATATTANGACGCAAATCCCCAAATGCACATAAAAGCAAATATATCTCTCATAATGCAATGCAACTGAATGCGGAACACAAAATGAAGCGTGCCCATGTAAGGGCCCGATGAGATACTTTTTTTAACCTTTCAAATTATCCACATCGTACAAATTGCAAAATTTTTCGTAACAAGCATAAATGCGTCGATGAATCGATTTTTTCCATCGATTAAATATCAATTACAATCCAGAAGTAAGTAATGACTGACAATGACAATTTCATTCATTTACTAAAACTTATTCGATGAAGCCAAAAAACCACTGGAAGAATAACGTTGAGAATTATATGGAATGCTTTTTTGATCGACCACAGTTTCGGGCATAGATCTCCATTAACACGACTAACTATTTCGAAATTTGATTTATATATTGGTTCGTGAAAGATGACGTGGAAATAACAGACTGATATAAGTCGTCAAAACATCGGCATGCATTCGGCGGAACAAGGAATCACTGAAAAATTATACCAATGGAAGAATAACGTACTCCTTTTGCATTGAATTGATAGCACACCACAAGACACGTTCACCACCTCCTCCAGCATTACAGTACGGATGGAAAAATGCAACCGTTCCCTTTTGTCTTCGTGAACGAGTCCTAAAACAACCTCATTGAATATCACACAAACAACAATAAAGCCCCACCAAGTTCTTGAAAATTCCTAGGAATTGACTGCTAAATATTCGAAAATAACCGACAATAAGAGAATGCAAATGATGGTGAACTAAGAACGACAAATTATCTTAAATGCAGTTGCAGAAAAGCAATATTTACTTAATAACATTGTTACTTTTAGTAATAGAAATGATATCTATATGCTTCATCGAGCATTTACATTAGGCTCCAAATAGGATGACTAATATATATTTATATATGGCCGGTGGCATGGAACATCCTTTGAATATATAAACGGATGTTGCAACTGTACTTCATTGATTCCTAAATAAGTGGAAGGATTATAAAAAGATTAACCTGAAAATCAGAGTAAGCAACAATAAAGGTGCAGAAAACACGAGAACAAAGTAGAGGCTCCACAGAATGGCACATATTAGACATCCCATCGCATCCAACAACTGAAAAAGCATACATGTACGCCGAGTTTCTTGTGATATTGCAGTTACGGAATCTATTAATCGTTGGTTAACTGCATGAATGTCACAACAANATGCGCATAAGACATCTTCATTTACTGCAAAAATTACGAACTTTTTTCTGTCCCCGCACCACACCAGTAGTGTGGTCTGGCACATACAGAACACGCGTCATCCATCACATGCATGAAGACATTGTGCCACACAGCTCTCTGCGCATATTTAACAACTGCTTTCTTGAACAGGGAGAGGTATTTCAACTGAACTTAATTTAGTTTCAGTGAATTTTCATAATTGAATTGTAATGATTATGAGCACCGACATTTCCCTTTATGCTGCTGAATATGTGCCCTCTGTCGAGATATCTGAGACATAGCATTGTTGGGAGGATTCATCATACGTGATCATCCGCTTAGGTGATCAAAATAGCGCCTGAAATCAAACGCGTGAATACTATTTGGAGTTTTTGAAATTTGCCAAGGATTTTTTCTTGCGATTATTCTAATCTTTCGCAGTGTTGTTTTTGTTAGGAATGTCCAGGTTTTGTTCAACGCGATATTGCAATCCATCATGATCGGTGGGCTTTATGAATGATCCGAACACCCTCACAAGTTTCGACCTTCCCCGCAGCCAGTTAATCTTGCCAGAGGGAACGG